AAGGCCTCCTGAGGTGACACTGGCCATAGACACCAACACAAACCCCAGCTGCAGCTGGACCATGGACCCAGACATAGTCCTTGGTAGCAACTTAGGCCCAGACGTCATCCTGGCTCTGCATGGAAGGAATGGCCAACCAGGTGGGTGTATAGTTGGAAGTTTTTCTGTGTCCCACCTGGCTCGAGGTCAGGACAAATCTCTCACCCACAGTCCTGTAGCCTTTTATAAAATAATCACACAGAGGCTTAATATTAATTATAACTGCTTGGCCATTTGCTCAGGCTTATTACTGTCTGGCTCTTATATCTTAAATTAACCCATTTCTATAAATCTATATTTTGCCACATGGCTTGTGGCTTACCAGTATCTTTACACCTTGCTTCTCTTAGCGGCAGCTACCAGTGTCTCCTTGCTCTGTCTTTCTTCTTCTTCTCTCTCTAGTTAGAATGTCCTGCCTAACCTTATTCTGCCTCACCATTGGCCACATAGCTTTATTTATCAACCAATCAGAGCCACACATATTCACAGCATACAGAACAACATCACACATCAGGTGGGAATTGTTCCGGCAGCTGTATGGTCACTGGACATCACCAAGGCCTCAGGTTGTGGCCCCAACCCTGGGCCTCTACATGATCATGAGTGACAGTGAAGGACCTGGACCTCAGGTCAGACCCCAGCCACAGTAGGACCATGGACCCCAACATGGTCCTTAGCAGCAACTGGGTCTGGATGTCACCACTGCTCCCAGCGGGGACATGTCCTCTAGATACTAACTTGGCCTTCGATCTTGGGTGTCTGCATGGCCTTTGATGGCAACAAGAACATGGGACATCAGCATAGACCCTGGCTGGAGTGGGACCATGGACCCTGACATGGCCCTCACATGCAGCTTGGGCCCAGATGTCACCATGTTATTCAGTAGCAGCACAGGCCACTCAGACATGGATGCTTCCTGGTCCTCAGACAAAAACCCGGACTCAGGTAGCTGGTTCGACCCCAGCCTTCTTTTTTTTTCTTCTAGATGATAGAATTTTTGATAATTTTATTCACATTCTACTATCTTTTCAGTATTTGTAATTGGACAAAGCAAAGAGCCAAGGGACTTGGTTTGTAGTTACTTTATGTATATAATCTTCACAAATAGATGGGTCTTTGAAATTAGCTCCTA